CAGGGTATACTTGGGCGGGGCATGGTAGGGCGGGGTAAAATATTATAGTGCACGGTACGGGTGTGTTACGTACATAGCAAAGAATGACATGGCAGCGTCGGGTAATAGTCGGGTCGGGTATGGGGGCGTAGAATTAGTCATGGTGTGTAAGAGAAGGACCGCGGGTATGTAATCGCGCAAAGAAGCTCGCGTGGATGGATAGAGTGGAGTAGGGCAAGTGTTGAATAGTAGGTGTAGTCGAGTCGTTTCGCCGCCCGACTGGAGTAGTAGCGAACCGAGTAGACGAAATAATATTTGGGTGTCGTAGCGTGGTGCCGAATAGAGTATGGCCGAGTATGGTGTAACACAGCGTGGGGCAGGGGTAGAGGGTATATATTCGGGTAGAGGCTTGCAACCGCGCCGCATAACCGATAAGTGGCGAATCTAAATGTGAGAGTAGAGGGCACGGCGTAAAGACTGGATCGTATATTGTAGAGAGCAGGTTGAAGTAGGAGGAGAATCGGGTAACATCGGGCTGGGATGAGCAGAGAAGGGGAGGGGCAGGGTATATAACGGAACGCGGCGAATGATAACGTATGGGTACGGTAGAGCAAGCTCGCGTGGATCGTGGTGGCGTACTGTAGAGTTGTTTGGGCTGGGTGCTGGGTAGCGTAGCGAACCGTGGCGCGGTGCAGACCACAACGACCAGGCTAATTCGCGTAGTTAGCGTAGCGTGGTGTGAAGTATGGCATATTAGATTAGATCAGGTGGCGCAATGTGAAATCATCGCACATAATAAGGGCACAGAACGGTGGAGTCCTTTACGGCAGAGCATACATATGTTCTTGAAAATATACATAAGTTCGAGTATGTGTGCGTGTGTGTGTGTGTGTGTGTATGTGTGCGTGCGCGTGTGTGGTGCGTCGATTGTGGCGGTGGTCGCGGCGCGCGTCCGCGCGTGCGTCTGTGGGGGAGAGAGAGAGAGAGAGAGAGAGAGAGAGAGAGAGAGAGAGAGAGAGAGAGAGAGAGAAACAGAGAGAGAGAGAGAGAGAAGGTGTGCGCGCGTGGGTGGGCGAGGGGGGGGGGGGGGGCGCGGGTGGAGTGCGGGGTGGCGCAGGTAAGGGTAGAGCGGGGTAGGTAGGGTAGGGTACGTAGAAAAAGGGCAATGATGTAAAACAATGAGTTTGACAGAACGAACTTTCATTAGCGTAAAAAAGGTCGACCACACGCAATTGAACGTAATGTAAGTCAGGTCGGGGCAGGCAGATCAGAATAGAGTATCATAGCGTAAGGTAGGTTAGTAGTGTGTAGACCGCGATAGAGTAGGATTGGCGTCTGGCACGGTAGAACTGCACATATCTGGGAACACCAGGACAAGTAGAGTAGAACATATTGGAGCGGCGTAGAGTTGAGTAGTATTCAGACGAGTAAGCTAGAGCGGGGCATGTTCGTGTGAGGACGCGGCTGAAATAAGATGCAGTATACTACGTCAGCTAACAATGGTGAACGATAATCGAATAGAGCAGATCAGAGCCGAGCTGGGTAGCGTTCTCAATGTATAGTACGGTAGAGTAGAGCAAGGCAAAACACGGGCAAGGCATATTCTAGGGCGGTAAACATAGTCCAAACGCTAAGCCCCCTAACAATGAAGAGATGCGCACTCTTGTTCGGTGCCAACGCTTATACAAATATGAATACGTACATATATGTATACTTTCCCACATGCATGCACGCATACTATTCGTGGACAGCGCCGCGGACTGTTACAGGACGCCCGTGCAGAGATAGCGCGCGCGGCAGGCTGCATTGCCGCGCGCGTGCGGGGGGCGTTTTGTTGCCCTCTTGCGCGAGAAACCCGTCGCCATTGAGCGGCGCGAGCGGTGGGCGCCCAATTCGACGTGCAAAGGGGTTTCGGTAGGGTTGGATTTCGGAGGGGGGGTTAGTTAAGTTCGAGATGATGATCATCTTCGACTTCGGCAGTGCCCCCCCGTCGTTTTCGGTGCCCGTTCTACGACCTGCGCTGCAGAGGGCAGGATTCACTGATGGTCTCTACCGGCTGAACCTGGGCACGCACTGGCTGCCGCGCGCCTTCGTGGCCCCGTGGGGCGAGCTGCGCAGCTTCGTGCCGATCGCGGTCGGCGTCGCGCAGGGCTGCCCAACCACTTTCGGGGCCCTTGCGGGCCGTGGCCATGGACCCCACGCGTGGCCCACGTGGAGGAGACCCTGCAGGACTGGGGCGCCTCCGAGGTGGGCGTCTGCGCGGACGACGTCGGCGCGCTGTTGCAGGGCCGCAGGCTTCTCCAGCTTATCCGCAGGGTCTTCGCCTGTGCGCGGGCTCAGGTTGGCTTGGCCTTCGAGCCCGCCAAATGCAAGGTGGCGCTTCTGTCTGCGGCGTTTTCTGTGGAGCTCGCAGCTTGCGCGAAGGCGTGGCAGGCGCAAGCGCTGCCAGGCTGGGAGCAGATGGACGTCGCCCCGTTTGCGAAGCACCTGGGCTTCATCCTCGGGCCCGGTGCCTCCCTGGGCGACGTTCGGCAAGAGACTGGCGCGAAGTGGATTCATTGTATTCGTGAGCTGTCCCTTGAGGAGACGCCGGTGCACATGTCCGCTGTGCTCTGCAACGCTCGCGTGCCCGCGGTCCTCAGTTACCTGATGCATGTGGTGCTTCCCCCCGCCGCGCTGAGCAAGCGCGAGGATTGGGCGTGGCACAAGATCTGGCACGCCCCTCCCCGGTCCATCTCCCGCGCTGGCATCTTGGGAGTGAGCAGTTGGTCGGCTTTGCGGCCCGCGAGCATGGTCGTCCTCTTGCCTGGCCTCTCGGATGGGAACAGCTATCCGCGCGGTGCGCAACTGGTTGCACAGCTCGAGCCTCTGCGCGAGCACCCGTTCAAGCGCGGGGTCCTCGCGGAGATCGGCAAAGGATGGTGGTCGCCAGCTTTCTGGCCTGCCATGCCGCTGTTGGCCCACCAGGTCGAGGCCAAGCAGGCCAAGTTCCTTTTGAAAACTCACGCTGCTGCCGCCCGCGCCGCCCTCGCAGCCCTCGAGAAAACCCTTGGGCATGTGCGCGTGCGTGTCTAAAGTTCCCTCTCGGCTTCTCTTCGCGTCTCCCTCTGGTCCCGACGTCCTCCATCTCACCCTCGCAACGCGCGTGGCCTCCTGGGAACTCCCAATGTCGGAATATTTTTGGACAGCCTTCGGAGACCTCGTTCGGAATTGGGGCCCGCCTGCTTGGCAAAGTGCGGTACTCAAGACGATTGTAGGCGGTTGGTTCACCAGCGCAAGACCGCGCTCGACGGTGCTCAACTCATGGAGTTTCAGTTGCTCACAGTGCCGTGAAGAGATGCTGCATTATATCAATTGCCCAGTTTTGCGGAGGCTTGTATAGCACCCAAAGTTGCCTCCTGAATCCCCCTCCTCGCGTCTTGGGCTCGACGGATCCCCCGCGCCCGAGATTGTCGAGAGAATGGTTCGGGCTTTCCACTTGTATCATGTTTTGCGTGCTGCCCCTGGCCCTGGCCTACTCGACAGCGAGGAGGCTCTCATTACAACTTACGGCGTGCTGCGATGGCCCTTGAAGAGCTCTCTGGAGGGCACTTCTAGGCCTGCCTGGTGGGGCCCGTCTGGGCACCTCCTGAGTGCGATACATATTCGCACACATATGACATAATATAACAACCCATCTACTGATTTGGATTTGGGGTCATGTAGTACTAACACCAGAATCGTGCGGAAATGGCACGTCCTCAGAGGGGGGTATGGCCGGCCTCGGGAAGATGGTGGTATCTGTTGCATTTTGAGAAATGGAAAAATATACGTCGTGCAGTGGGGCGGAGACGAGCGGCGGAGACGAGCGGCGGAGACGAGCGGCGGAGACGAGCGAGGGCGAGCGCGGAGACGCCAGACCGCCAGCCAGGTCCAGCCGACGGGCGGCGACGAGGCGGTAACGGGGCGGCGACGGTGATCACGGAACCGCCAGACCGCCAGCCAGGCCGAGCTCTTTTTGAACAGAAAGTAGAACTCCTAAGTGCAAACACTGTTTGGGCAGAATCGCCCAACATCGGTCCCGGAAAAGGGGGAGATATTTTGACGATGCGTGCAGGGGTGGGTTGTGGCCTTACAACATGACGGAAAGAACGCTAGCGAGAGAAGTTATGCATATGGTTTTAGCCCGAATGGGGGGGGTCCAGGGTGGGGGGGGGCGCGCCGATTTGTCTAACACGCCCAGCGGGGGCCATGTTGGCGTTTTTTCCGGCCCAGGACGCTTCAACAAACACCCGACAAACTCCCAAGACGGCTTGGGATATTTCCAAGACGGTCCAACATATGCCCCAGAGGCCCCAACGCGGCCCAAGAACGCTTCAGGAGGGGCAGCGGTGGCCCCGAGACGGCTTCAGAAACCCCGCGGACCCCCCAAAGGGCCCCGCGAGGACCTCCAAGAGGAACTCAAGAGGCAGCAGCGATCGATTTCCCTTATGTTTTTGATGGTTTGTGGGACTCTTCTTCGTTTTCGGGCCAAATAACTGCCAAAGACACCGTTTGGGGCCGCCAAGGTCGCCCCGACACGAACATCCCAAGAGAGCTTCAAGACGGCACACAACAGCCCCGAGACGGGCCAAGGAGGGCCCCACAGAGGCCCAAGATACTCCCGGGAGAGCTTCGCTGGGGCCACAAGAGGCTTCCAACAGGGCCCCGCGGGCGCCCCAAGCTGGCCCAAGCCCCCCAAGACGGTCCAAGAGGGCCTCAGGACGGCCCAAGAGGGCCCCCAGACGGCCAACAAGGGCCACACAACGGGCCCGAAGACCCCCAAAAGGTTTCCGAGACGCCTTCCAGGTGCCTTTTTTCCGAGCCTCTAACTACATTTTGGGCTTTCGGAGGCCGCTTCGCTGCCACGGCTGGAAGCAGTTTGGAAAACATCGGCGTTCGACACTTCCTTCACAGAACCGCTCTTTTTGTTCCCGTGGTGGCCAAGGTTTGAACAGCCTTACCAGACAGCATGAGCATTCTAACACGCCCGCTCCGTGCAGGCACGGTGGCGGATTCCTGGCCTGCAATGGTTGCCCTCGTCGTCACGACCTGTCCCTGCTGGGGAGCTGGGGGTGGCCTATTGAAGAGAGTTTTCAGGTTCTTAAGCGTGTCCTCGGGACTGCTCACTTCCAGACTTGTCCTGGGGATGGTAGTTCACTGGTTGTTTTGGCTAACAGACTCGCGAGTCACAGTCTATATGGGCGCAGCATTGTTCACAACCACGCTGGCCATCTGCCTGACATTCTTGTTCGACACTCTGGCAGATCTCTTGGAGAGCAAGGCTGTCGCGATGAAACGGGAAGCGGGCGCATTCCATTGCCAATTCTTTACGCTTGGCGTGCCCCCACCAGAACATCCAGAAATGATTTACAGGCGAACTGTCGTGAGAAAGGAGGCGGATGAGTATTAGGCAAACAAAGAGAGGGAGATCCCCCCCCCCAAAAAATCATCAATTCCGACTCTCGTGGGGCCCTTTTGGGACCCGTTGGGGCCTTCCTGCTGCGCTTTGGGAGCAGTTCGGGCACATGTTGAGGTATCTCTGGAGGCAATCGACCAAACTAAAAGCCCTGATTAGCGCCGCCCCTTGCGAGCAAGGACATCATTTTATTAGGAACCATGTGCGCGCACTTGAGCAAAGATGGCCTGCTATTGCGGGCGGCTGTGCTCTCGAGCAGCACCCTTCCAAAGTTCAGGTTTGACTTCTAGTACGCCAGTCCACTGCAACCCGCTCTTATCACAAGCGGTTACAGCGTTATTGGAAAGATCTCGTACCCATGCACAGAACAGCCTGCCTCTCCTCCGCTTCTTGGGAGGGGGTTAGGGGTGACAGAACATTGTAGGACAACTGCATGATCGCTGCTCCTGCACGCAATTTCCGCAACAAAAAGCAAGCTGTTGCTGCAACAAACTAAGTGCTTGGCAATTTGCCTGCTCGAGAACAGCTGGTTGGAGACGCGGCTGATGCACGTGTGCGGTATGCCCAGGTGTTTTAGACGCAGCGGGCTTGGAAACCGTCAAGACGAATTCGTTCGGCTTTTTTTAGCCAAGCCGTGTGTGGACTGTACAGCAGCTTGCTAAGAACGCACGCCCCCAATAGGCGAATCTTCCGGGGCACAGATACTACAGCGTGAGACCACATGCGCGTCAGGATCTCGAGAATTCCGCCCTTGCCGCGCCGATGCGTCCGTCTGCTCTGCTCGGCTTGTATGCCGCCGTCCGCAGAGACTACGGCTCCGAGCTACACGATGCTGTCTTTCTGAATGACGGGCTTCCCGTCGGGCTGCAATCTGTGGGCTGCGCATCTGACTAGAAGAGCTTTTGCATGGCCTCACCTTTTCTATGGCCCGCATGTGCGTGGCTGCGCGGTCCGTAGACGCAGCCAGGATGAGCGTGTCATCCGCGCAGATGAGCTCGGCCACGTCTGTCGCGCGCTGGCCAATCGCGGTCCTTGCGTCCGAAGTCACAATTGTGTTGACCATGGCGAACAGGAAGGGGGAGAGAGGGCACCCCTTGCAAGTGCCAGCGCGCTGCGGCCGAGAGCTGGAGGTGACGCCAGCCTCCCTGACTGCGAATCGCCTGTTGGAGTAGATCGCCCTGATGGCTGCCAGCACAGGCCGTGGCAGACCGAAGCGCCCGAGCGCATGCAGCAGTGCGTCCGGGGCCACGCTGTCAATAGCTTGTGCCCAACCGAAGGCAAAAGCTTGGTCTGCCTACCTCTGGCCTCCCAAGTCTCCTCGATGTGCTGGCGAGCCAGGAAGACGGTGTCCGCCGTGCCGTGCTTCACTTGAAGCCGAAATGCGTGTGCCAGATACGGTCTTCGGCGCCTGCTTGCTTCAACCATCGCAATCGAGTAGGCGCGGAAAGCTTGTAGCTCGTCCGCAGCAAGCAGATTGACCGGTAATTTTCGCACATTCAACTCGTCGCCCCTTTTGAACATAGCTGTGATTAGCAACCCCATCGGGCCAGCCTTTCTGGCAAAGAGCAGCGGCCCACTGGCGCTCTCGAAGTAGTCGGCCATGCCGCGCGGTCGCTGGAGTCCACGATGCAACTAGCTGGGCCGCGCAGCCGGCCCTGGCGGCGAGGGTGGCCCCTTCGAGGACGCCGCACTTCTGCCCAGCCTTCCGAAGCCAACATGCCGTTGAGCCATTCGTTCGGCTTCAAGCCATGGGAGCCTTGTGCACCCGCGTAATCACGTTTTTCGAGTGTACTAGCGTCTGGTAAGCGATGACTTAGCGCCAATTCAGCGTCGGTGAGCGTCGATTAGCGCCGATTTAGCGTCGATTAGCGTCGATTAGCAAGGGCCAACAAGATGGTATGGGAGGCTCCCATGAGTTGCCACCGAACGCTCGTTCTTGCCATTTTCCACAGATTCTTTTACTTGGCGGTGAAGCGTTGCCTCAGAAGCCGCGCCGCCCTGCCTTCTCGCCGCGGCACGGTCGTCCATAATCCGCAGCGTTCGGCTCGAAATATGCACGTCCAGAGCGGCTTCGCTCGGAACACAGGCACAGCCGTGTGGAATGCCTTCGACATGCTCTGCTCCATGTCCTCCAGCGTTGCTGTCGTTGTGTCCAGCCCTTCCGGATGATCTGAGCAAGCCGTTGCTAGCCGACTGGCCGCTTCAGGTGCTCGAGCAAACGGCAGATCGATCGTCTGGGGGCCGCTTGGCCCTTCTCTTTCGGCACCTCCATGTCGAGATCCGCGTAAACACGGAAATGGTGCGAAACCAGTGCATGTTAACGGTCGTTGCGAATCGATCGAAGCAGATGTACCCAAGGTTGAGACATTCACGCGGAATCGATCTGGCTGAGGCTATTTGGGTTTACAGAGTCGGTCGGGTTCTTCTAGATGTCGTAGCAATGACCTGGTGCTCTGCCAACTGATTGAAAAAGGTATTGCAGATTACCAATTTCGCTTTCTTGCACACTTCTGCCAGAAGGCTTCCGTTTGAGGCAGCACTGTACGCAGCCCCTGGGTTGCCCACCATGTGCGACCCGATGGTGTTCTCCTCGTGAGGGACACGCTGGTGCAACCTTGCATTGAAATCGCCCGGCACAAACAGGGGGCCATGGCGAGAGCTCTTGCCAAGAAATCCGCCGTGCTCGCTGTAGAATGTTGCTGGTCAGCAGCCAGCTTTCAATTGTGAGGCGCATAAGTGCTGCAGATTGCGGTCTTGCCTCAGGTGGGGGCAACCACGAGTCCAACAATTGTCGCTTCGTAGTCGCCTGCGTCCACCACCTTGCTTGCCTCCGTAGCCTCTGGTTCAAGCCGTATCCGGGATCCCCGGGTGCGAGGGGGCGCCCAGATCGCTGCGCTCCGCACCGCGCGCGGGCCTCACGCGACCTGGCCCCGGTCGCGCCATCGCCCGCGGGCCGCCCTGCCGACCCGCCCCCGGCTGGCAGTGGCTGCCGGTAGCCGGGGCGATCATGGCCACCGCGGCAGGTGATCTTGACGGGGAGCTCGAAGGGGGTTGGGACTTGGTGGACGCCACGACAGTGCTGGCTGTGGAAACCAACGGGTCGGGAATCGTTGACGACCCACCTTGGGGCACTGACCCTGGCGCGCGTCTGAACCCCCCCCCTCTGGCGCAGGATCGCCGCTTGCGGATTGCCTGGTCACGGACAGTGTGCGATCGAGGGAAGTAGCTCACGGACGTGGCGCAGGCGTGCCTGGAGGAACGCCCCCGGGGTCCCTTGAGGGCCCTCTTGGGGTTGGTTCGCCAACCTGGAATGGGACACTTATTTCCAACACGCCATCCAGCCCAGTGGCGCTCGATGACGGGTTCGCCAGGCGTTCGGGCAGCCTGGAAGGGCAGACGGAGCTCGATCCACCAGTCTGCGCGGCATTTTGCCGCGTACCTGGTACTCATGCAAGCTGCCCAGTGACCCAGGGAGGCAGGGGCCTGGGGGATCTGGGCACCCACGTGGTGCCCCTTGGGGCCCCCCCGCGCCAGGTAGAGGCCACCCCGAGTCTTGCGATGATTCCGCCGCACTCGGACGACGCGATCGGCAACCGTCCGCCGCGTCCGGCCCCCCAGAGCGCGAGCGGATCAACCCAGACCGTGCCTGCGCGACTGGGGACCCGTGCGACTCTCTTCCACCAGTCTGCGCGGCAGTCAGCCGCGTACCTGGACCTGGCGCTGCCAAGAGTGAGGGGTGCCTTCGGGGGAGTGTGGCTGAGGACCGTGGACCTGGTGGGAACCTGGACATCAGGCCTCTCGGCTATTCCGCTCCCCCCGACGTTGGCGGGCTCGGGCCTGCTCCATCCCCAGGCCTGGAGGGGTGCGACGTGGCCAACCCAGGTCACGTTGCCGATCCGCAGGCTGTGGCGGGTGGCTTTCCACCAGTCTGCGCGGCAGTTAGTCGCGCCCGTGGCATGGCGATCGATGAAGGTAGCGGCCTGAGCTCTCATCACAGGCCTGTGCCCCCAGGGCGTGGCGTGGCCAACCCAGGCTTCGTTGCCGCCCTTGGGGGGGCAGGTTGGCGGTTTTCCTTCTTTTCAACGCGGCCCTGGCTGGAACGACGTGCGGAGCTCATCCCTGCCCCCAAACGGGGGTGCGGATTCGGGGGCCCATGATCGCAGGCCTGGCTGCCAACCCGCCCCCGCTGGGCTCGCTGTGCCTGGCCCTGCCTTGCCGCCAGCCCACGTGGAACGCGGTGGATCCAATCCGGGCGGCGCCGTCGACCCGTGGGCTGAAGCGCGTACATGTCCACCAGTTTGCAAGGCAGTTAGTCGCGCCCCTGGCGCAAGGTGGGGAAGCGGCGACTGCTGGCGCGAAGTGGGCACGAGCAGCGGCAGTTCAGCGCGCGAGCCGGGGGCCCCGAGAGGCCCGCCTAACGTTGCGTGTGAGGGGGACGCTGCTTCAGGCCCTTCAGCCACCCCGTGGAGAAGCTCGGCAGGGCTTCGGAGCCCCCCCTCGCGGCCGCGAGGTTACCTCGGGGGGCCAGGGGGGTGGGGCACCCCGGCCCAGGTCGGAAGTCGCCCGCGGAGCACGGCACGTGATGACGATCGGGGCACCCCGACGGATCGCGGTGCTAGTGCTGCGCACGGTGGCATGCGCAGGCAGGGGCTGGGGCTGCGCGCGACCGCCGCGAGGGCGAAGCCGGGAACCCTGGGGGCGGCCGCAGGACCTGGATGGCGGACGCGCGCAGGTCACGTCCAGGGGCGTGAGGGGAGGCGACTGGGCAGGCCCCCGCGCCGCGGGCCAGAACCGTCGACCCTGTCAGGATGTCGGGTTCCCGCGGGACGTTCAAGAAGGGCCCCCTCTGGTGGCCTATGGGTCTG